TGGCATAATAAAAAACAATCAATCAATCAATCTCTCTCTCTCTCTCTCTCTCTCTCTCTCTCTCTCTCTCTCTCTCTCGGTGAGTACCGTGTGTTGCCGTGTTACCTTGCTCCGTGTTTGGCGAACTCCACCTCTGCCGTAAGCTGCCTTTGGGCTGTTTTTGTTGCAGGACAGAGCAGGTCTATTGTTGCTTGTCAGGATAGATATTGCATCTTCCTTTCCTTGCAACTGCTGTCCTGGATATCTCGAGGTATAGTGTCGCTGCTTTTTCTAACCTCACTTTTACATCATCGGTCTGGATCGACGTGACTCTTGCTGCGCATGCTCCTGCTTTTCTCAGTTTTGCACATTTCTATCTCTGCACCTGGATTCATGCATGAGTTGCCATCTGCAAACATCAAGTCATTCTGCAGTCTTTTACCATCCGAGGGCTTCTAATTGTACTATTACCATCTCGACAATCTTGTACCATCTGTGGGCTCTTGAGCGTACTATTACCATCTGGATTGCCGTACTGCATCTTCCTGGTTTGGCTCCTTACTTGCTCGTTGTACTATGCAGCGTGTTATGCCTGAGTGCTACAGGTGCAAGAAATCGATTGCGAATGCATTGGTTGAGTGTGAATGCAAAAAACAATTCCATCCCGGTTGCGTCAAGCCGTATTCTGTGACAAAATACGCGGACCATTGCTGCAAAGCTCTGGTGAAGCACTATGACACTCCGCTTACGCCGCAGGCCGAAAACAATTTTAATCTAGATATTATGACTACTCCTGTAAGTACCGGTGCTCAGGCACAGTCTCAATTACAGTCTCAGGGAGATATTAATTCACACGACCTTTTACTTCGAATATCTCAACAATTGACTGAGCAAATGAAGGTGTCAAATACGAGATTTTCTGCTTTTGTTGAGGAAACAAATGCGAGATTTAATGCTTTCGTCGAAAAGCAGCGGCGCACGAATAATGAACTGAATGACAAGCTTGACAGACTGAACAGCATTGCGAGCGGTGTCGAGCGGAACAGTCAGCGGATTGTTGAGTTGGAGCAACAGTGTAGTGCTCTTGCGGATGAGATTCGCAATTTAAAGGGCAACCGTGCTGGCTCTTACTCTGCTACGCGGGCTCGGTCTGAGAATGAGTTAATTATCTCAGGTGTTCCTACCGCGATGTCTGTTACCCCCTTGGAGTGCGTTCGAAACGTGTTTGCGACATTAGAAATCCCTGAGCTGTCGTGCCACGTTCTTGACGTTAGGGCCGTCGCTCGTAAGCCTCTGCCGCCGGTGGCTGGTGACCGATTGTTACCGACTTCTACCACGAGCTCTTATATTGTTACATTAGCTTCGGGCGCGGTACGTGATACTGTTATGTCCAAAAAACGGGCACGGTGTGTGCTTACGCAAAAGGAGGTCTGTGGTGGCAGCTCGGATCGGAACGTGCATGTCAACGAACTGCTCCCTAAGGACACTTATGAATTGTTGCAGCACACGAAGCGTGTTGCTAAAGACAAGTCCTATCAGTATGTCTGGGTGAGGGGAGGTCGCATCCATGTTAGGCACTCGGATGGTGAGCCTGCAATTAAGATCGATTCAGCTGCGGACATTGATAAGCTCGTCTGACGTGCCCGTTCCGACCACTCATCGCCTTCCGTCCTGCATCGTGGCTCTATTTCGCGGTCCACTCAGTTTCACGTAGCTCAGTTTAATGCAAACTCTCTGCGGGCACATATTGATTATATCAGACTGTATTTCTCCACTAGTTTTTATCACATTATTTCAGTTTTTGAAACGTGGCTCAATGAGAGCATCTCAGATGTGACAGTGGCCCTAAATAACTACTTTTTGATTCGTCATGATAGAGTGGGACGGATGGGTGGTGGAGTGGCATGTTATGTGCATAAATCGCTCAAGGTTAAGATTATAGCTACCTCTGATAATGCCTGTGATAATCTACCTGAATATCTTCTCATCGAAGTACGTCTGTCAGATGGAGAATCGGTTTTATTTGCGTCCATTTATAGAAGACCTAAAGGTCTCCTCTTGTGCAATTTCGTTGAGTCATTGAGCCGATTCGCTCATCTCTATAAAAATATTATTATTGGTGGCGATCTTAATTGTAATCTATTATCGACTAATTTTGAAGCGAATTATTTGCGTGAACTCATGTCCAGCTTATCACTACATATTGTGAACTCTGAATCAACTTATCATACGGCAACTTCAGACTCATGGCTTGATGTGTTGGTGGTAGATGACCTAGAAAAAATGTTATCATTTACTAAATCTCAGAGTCCTTTTATTGCTGGACATGATGTCATTGCACTATCTATGTTACTCAATTGTGATCCGATAACTGAGCGCTCTATATCACGGCGAAATTACAGAGGCATTGACTGTTCGGTGTTCTCTGAACATCTTGGATCCATCGCTAGCTCTGTGCGGTCTGAAATTGAGGAGGTGATTAATGACGCGAACGTTGACAGATTCTGTGAGGTGCTATCCGGTAACCTGCTAAGGGCACTGGATACATTTGCCCCGATTCGTGTATTTACAATCAGGAAGCCTCCAGTGCGGTGGCTCACCGATGATCTCAAGACCCGGATGCGTGTTTGCAGTCAATTATATAAGCAGGAAAAACGTTCTGGCAGTTTACTTGGCTACAACACCTATAGATTTTTTCGCAACCAACTGAATGCCGACATTAAACGTGCCAAAAGCGAATTTTAATTTGATTCTTTCAAAAACATTACTGATCCAGCAAAACTTTGGAGAGAGTTGGCTCGCCTCGGTCTTGTAAAATCAACCTTGGTTTCTCCTCTACATTTTTTCACACCAGATCAATTAAATTCTTTTTACATTTCAGTTTCTGCTGATTTGTTACCTTGCTCATACACTGATTTTATTTTTGCTATAGACCAGGTAGTTTGTCTATCCCATCGTCCGGAGTTTGTTTTCTCCACTATAACGCCAGATATGGTCCATAGACTCATTTCTGTGGGACCTCTTCATTCTTATGCGTCAGGGTCAGACGGCATACTTCTCTATATTTTGCGAATAGCTTGGCCTACAATTTCATCGTGTCTAACTACCTTATTCAACCGTTCATTGGAAACTTCTTCATTTCCATCTCAGTGGAAGCGGGCACTTATCCGTCCTCTCTCTAAGATCCGTATTCCTTCATCTCCGTCTGATACGCGACCAATAGCTAATCTGCCTGAATTGTCTAAAATTCTTGAGAGGATCGTTGCCACGCAGATCATGGACTATTTAATCAAGCAATGACAATTTAATGATCTCATAAATCCAAGACAATCCGCATATCGTCCAAGTCACAGCACTCAGTCGGCACTTCTGCGTGTTAGTGATGACATTAAGAAGGCGATTGACGGTGGGCTGGTAATGATTATGGTCCTTTTCGATTTCAGTAAGGCGTTTGACACAGTCCCGCATCTTCAACTTCTGATTAAACTGAAAGAGTTAGGTTTTTCTGACCTTGTTCTCATATGGATCTATTCATACTTAACGGGTCGTTCTCAGGCTGTGATCGATGATGCTGGTAATCTCTCGTCGTGGCTATTTACGTTATGTGGTGTACCTCAGGGCTCTGTGCTGGGTCCACCTTTATTTTCCCTGTATATTAATGATATAAGTAAGGTCTTGTTATATACAGAACACATGATGTTTGCCGATGACATCCAGATTTATCGTGCGTGTCTACCTTCCGACATTCTTCACAATTTTAACTTAATCTCTGTGGACGCTAATGCTATTTTCGATTATGCATCGGCAAACGGTCTGAAACTTAACCCTGCCAAATCTAAGGTTATAATATTTGGCAGTAGTAGAAATGTCAACAACATTGATTTCAACCTTCTTCCTCCTATAATTGTTAACAACATACAAATACCATTTGTTAGTGAGGTGAGAAATCTTGGTGTTTGGTTTGAATCTAATTTCTCTTGGAGGAAGCATGTCATGCATGTTTCGCAAAAAGTTCACTGGGCGTTACACAAGCTGAAATTCAATAAAAACTCTCTCTCTACTGAGCTGAGGATTAAGCTTGTGACGACGTTAATTCTACCCCATTTAGATTATTGTTGCCTAGTCTATCATGGCTTGAGTGATGAACTGAACACCAGATTACAGAGACTAGTGAACTGCTGCATTAGATTCATATATAACTTGCGGCGGGATGAGCATATTACTCAGTATAGGCGTCGCCTGGGATGGCTTTTGGTGGAAAACAGAAGGCGGTACTTTCTCGGGTGTCAGATGTATCGGATACTCTATTTGTCTTCACCTTTGTACTTAAGTGAACTTTTCACTTCACTTGACCCATTACTCAGAAGATCTGACCGACTTGCTGCTTTGTCTCCTCAAATCTTTCATATTCCTGCTCACAGAACGGTCACCTATAGAAATTCCTTCCAACTTTCTTCCATATATTTTTGGCATTCTCTTCCCGATGAAATTACATCTGCATCTTCTCTTGCATTATTCAAAAACCTTCTTCGTGAGTATTTGCTTTCGTCTGAATCTGAGTAGTGGGTCCTTTGGACTTTTGTTCTTGCGAATTGCTGTATTTCTGTATTTTTTCTTTGTAGTTATTTTTTCGTAGCGTTATTCTCTTAGTTTTAAGTTGCATTAATTTTTAAGGCGAGTTAGTTGTAAGTTAGTTTTAAGTGTGTATTGTTTGGGAGAGAGCATGAACATGAACAGGTTCTATTTACATGTATTCAATGCATATTGTATTCATTGTTTGCCCTTTAGCTATTGCTTGGGCATAATAAAAATCAATCCATCAATCAATCAATCAATCTCTCTCTCTCTCTTATCTCGGTGCTGTCCTGAATTTACACCTATCTTGTGCATGTGTTACCATCTGAGGGCTTCTGCGTGTATTGCTGCTGTTTACCGTCCGAGGCTTTCTGACGCTTTACCATCTGCTATCTACGTGGTTGACGTATCCCTGATCTCTTCACGACTGGCTTGGCGCATCACTTATGCAGTGCTTCAAGTGCAAAAGGTCAATAGCGACTACTGCTGCTGCATGCGAGTGCAACAAATTGTTTCACCCTGGTTGCATCAAGATCTTCGCTTTGACTAAATACGCTGATCACTGCTGTAAAGCTTTGGCAGCGCAACAAGACTTACCGACTACACCGCTAGCTGATAAGTGTACACAATCACTAAATTTCGAAGATATGGCTACTCCCACGGATATGAAGTCACAGTCTACTGATGCATTGTTTTTGTCTATAATGTCAAAGATTGAAGAATCTGACAAAAAAATGACTGCTCTTATGGAGGATCAGCGATCAAAGACCGAAGAATCAAACAACAAACTGACCGCTTTTATAGAAGACCAGCGTGAAATAAACAGAGAGATCAACGACAAACTCAGCAAATTAAATTGTATCGTTGAGACTGTTGCACATAACTCTCAGCGTATTACCAAGCTGGAACAAGCGAGTTCAACCCAGGCGCGTGACATACAGGCGCTGAAAACAGCTCAGCCCATTGCGCATACTGAGGAAGAAAATAAGCTCATTATTTCGGGACTGCCGGAGGCGTTGTCGATTACACCAACAGAGCTCGTCAACAATATATTTAGTGCACTGGATAGTCGGAATCTCTCCAGCCACGTGATTGACGTCAGATCCATGAAACGCAGATTGCAGTCTGGTGCAACTCCGAGCCGTTCCTCGAATGCGGGCAGCCTGGGATCGATTGTAGTGACCCTGTCATCAGGTGCTGTCCGCGATGCCATTATCGCGAAGAAGCGTGCAAAGCGTGTGCTTAAGCAGCGTGATGTATGTGGCAATGACTCGGATCGCAATTTATACGTAAATGAGATGCTGCTTAAAGCCACGTACGACTTGTTGCAGCATGCCAAGCGCGTCGCCAAGGAGAAATCGTATAAATACGTCTGGATAAAGCAGGGTCGCATATGTGTCAGATCTTCGGATAGCACTCCCATCATCTATATTGACTCTATGGAGAACCTAACCGACTTGGTTTGACTGGGTCGAGACAGGCATATAGCGGCTTCAGTTATTACAAATCGCTTAACCAAGAACTCTAATTTTTGCATAGCACAATTCAATGCCAACTTCCTTCGCGGTCATATTGATCTTATCAGGCTACAATTCAGCGCAAACCTTCATCATATTATTTTTGTGTCAGAAACATGGCTTAATGTGAATGTCTCTGATGCGACTGTGGCCTTGGACAATTACTTCTTGGTTCGTCATGATAGAGTGGGACGGATGGGTGGTGGAGTGGCGTGTTACGTACATAAGTCACTTCAGGTTAAGATCTTGACCACCTCTAATTACGTCTGTGATAATTCACCTGAATACCTCCTTATCGAGGTACGTCTACCGGATGGTGAATCGGTGCTATTTGCGTCTATTTATAGAAGGCCTAAGGGTCTACTCTTACATGACTTTGTTGAGTCTCTAAACCGATTCTCTCATTTCTACAAAAATATTATTATTGGTGGTGACTTGAATTGCAATTTATCATTGACTAACTTCGAGGCGGATTATTTGCGTGAATTAATTTCTAGTCTATCGTTACATATTGTTAACTCTGAGCCTACCCATCACACTGCGACTTTTGATTCTTGGCTTGACGTGCTTGTAGTGGATGATATGGACAAAATTATATCATTCACTAAATCTCAGAGTCCTTTCATTGCTGGTCATGATCTTTTGGAACTGTCCACGTCTCTCAGCTCTAATCTTAGGCCGGTGTGCTCTATTTCTCGGCGTAACTACAGGGGAATTGTTGACACGGAGTTCTGCGATTACCTTGGATCCATTGCTGGCGCAGTACGGTCTGAAATCGATGGTGTGTCAGAAGACACTGATGTGGACAGATTGTGTGGAGTGCTGTCTGGTGCCTTGTTGGGGGCACTTGACACCTTTGCCCCTATTCGTAACTTTGTAATCAGGAAGCCTCCTGTGCAGTGGCTGACTCCTGAATTGATCGCTCGTCTACATACTCGTGATCAACTATATAAGCGTGCTAAACGGGCCAATAGTCTCTTAGGTTATGCTTCTTACAGACTCTTCCGAAATCAACTCAATGCGGATATCAGGCGGGCTAAGAGCGAATTTTATTATAAGTTTCTCATTGGTATTATTGACCCTGCCAAATTGTGGAGAGAACTTGCTCGACTAGAGCTTGCAAAAACAACTCTTACCTCTCCATTACATTTCTTCTCATCTGATCAGCTGAACTTATATTATGCGTCTGTTTCCAATGCTCAGCTTATATGTCTTTATTCTGACTTTATCTCTGCCACTGCTTTGGTCTCGCGACCTTTTGATCGTCCTGAGTTTGTGTTTTCTACTATCTCACCTCGGTCAGTTTTTGAGTTTTTGTCTATGCGACCTCTCCACTCTTACGCTCCCGGTTCAGATGGTCTACCGCGGTATGTTCTGCGCATTGCTTGGCCTGTTGTTTTGTCATCGCTTGTTCTTTTATTTAATCGATCGTTAGACACTTCGTCGTTCCCGTCAGAGTGGAAGAAAGCATATATTCGCCCGCTTTCAAAAATTCAAACACTACTATCCCCGTCAGATACTAGACCTATCGCGAATTTACCTGAGCTGTCTAAATTATTGGAACGAATTGTTGCTTCACAGATATTAGACTACCTAAACAAATACGACATTCTGAATCCTAGACAGTCTGCGTACCGCTCATGGTATAACACACAATCTGCGCTTCTGCGGGTTTGTAACGATATCAAGCAGGGGATTGATGAGGGACTTATTACGATTATGATACTGTTTGACTTTAGCAAGGCTTTTGATACAGTCTCCCATCTGCTACTACTTATTAAGCTCAAACAGATAGGCTTCTCTGACGCTGTCTTAAACTGGATTTTCTCCTACCTAACAGGTCGTTCTCAAGCAGTTATTGATGATGAGGGCAATCTTTCTGACTGGATATTTACTTCGTCTGGAGTCCCTCAAGGTTCTGTGCTTGGCCCTCTGTTGTTTTTTTTTGTATATTAATGACATTTATTGGATATTACGTTATGCATCTCACATGATTTTTGCGGATGATGTTCAGATCTATCGCCTATGTTCACCGGCTAATATTCTTCAGGCTCTGGAATTGATTACATGTGATGCCAATGCTATCTTTGATTATGCTAATACGAATGGACTAAAGCTTAACCCTGCTAAATCTAAAGTTATTATTTTTGGAAGTCAGGCTTATATTAATAGCATCAATCTTGGTAGTCTTCCACCTATCATTGTGAATGATACGCCCCTACCATATGTAAATGAGGTTAGGAATTTGGGTGTCATCTTTATGTCTAATCTTTCGTGGACGAGACATATCTCGCTGATCTCACAAAGAGTGCATTACGCGTTGAATAATTTGAAGTTCAATAAGAACTCTCTTTCTACCAATTTCAGGATTAAACTAGTCACCACCTTAATCATGCCATACATTGATCATTGTTATCTCGTATATCATAGTTTGAGCAGTGAGTTGAATACAAAATTGCAAAGGCTCGTCAACTGTTGTATTCGGTTCATCTATGACCTTAAGCGTGACGAACACATTACACCGTATCGACGTCAGTTGAGGTGGCTTTCGGTTAAAAATAGGAGATACTACTTTCTTGGATGTCAGACCTATCGTATTCTGCATATGTGTTCTCCTTCATATCTACGTGAGCTTTTTTCTCCTCCTGATCCAACACTTAGGAGATCTGACCGACTAGCTGCTTCATCCACTCAGACGTTCCATATTCCTGCTCACAGAACCGTTGCTTTCAGAAATTCCTTCCAACTTTCTTCCATATATTTCTGGCATTCTCTTCCTAGTACAATAACTTCAGCATCTTCACTTGCATCATTCAAGAGCCTACTTTTTGCGTTTTTGCTTTCGTCTGAATCGGAGTGACGGGCCTTTGTTCTTTTGTTTTTTTGTTGTTCTCTTGTTCTTGCGTACCTCCTGCGAGTATACTAGTTCTTAATTTTAAGTTGCGTTGCGATTCTTTATTAGTTTTAAGTTGCGTTAGTTGTAAGTAGCGTTAGTTTTAAGTAGCGTTGGTTGTCAATTGCTGTAATTGGCATATTGTTATTGAGTGAGAGCAAATGCTTGCTGTTATAATTTTCTTTGTATCTTTTTGCCCTGTAGCCATTGTTTGGGCATAATAAATGATCAATCAATCTCTCTCTCTCTCTCTCTCTCTCTCTCTCTCTCTTTGTGAGTATTGGCGATTGTCGAAATTCTTTGCTCCTGCACAGGTGAATATTTCTGCTGCCGTAGGCTGCCTCCGGGCATTTTTGTTACAGATATAAGCAGGTCTTTTGTTGCTTGTCACGCGCCTTATCTCGTTTTTTTCGGGATTTTCACCTAATTCCAAATACTTTCGTGACAAGTATTATCTTCATCCTAACCTCACTCTCGGAATCATCGTGGAATTCTCGGTATTACCTGTGTGGAGCGTTGACCCCTGCTGCGCATGCGCCTGCCTTGCCGATCTTTTCTGCACTTCTTGGTCTGTGGTTGATATTGTCTGCTACTGCGCATGCTCCTATCGTTGCCAACCTTCTCTATCCGGATGCTATCTCTGGGCATGTGTTTCCTGACTGACTGCTGATTGGCTGCTTTACGCAATACCGTCTCTGTCGTCGTGTGGTGAACTTTATGATCACAGTTGTGCATGCGCCTATCACTACCGTGCATCACTATCTGTATGTAGTGACTTTTACATTGAACTCTGCGTCACCTCGAGTGATTGATCACTGCTTACCTGATTGACGGGAATGCAGCGTGAGTGCGCTAGGTGTAAGAAATCTATCGCGACCACAACGGTTGAGTATGTGTGCAAAAGAGTATTTCACCCCGGATGTGTAGCGCCGTACTCTCTTTATAAATACGCTGACCCTTGCTGCAAGTCGTTGTCTGTTTCTATTAATTCACCGCTTACACCTGAAGGTGAAAATACCGTGCGATCACCTAACTTTAACAGTATGACTACTCCTGTAAGCGCCGGTGCTCTGTCGCAGTCTCAGTCGCGGTCTCAGCATGACAATACTACCAATGACCTTCTGCTTCGGTTAATTGAACAGCTGAGCGAGTCAAATGCAAGATTGACTGAGCAATTGAAGGAGTCGAATGCGAAATTTTCTGCTTTTGTCGAAGAGCAGCGGCGTACGAATAGCGAACTGAAAAACAAACTAGATAGATTAAACAGTATTGCGGGCAATGTCGAGCGGAATAGTCAGCGGATTGTTGAGTTGGAGCGGCAGTGTGGTGCTCTCACAGATGAGATTTGTAATCTAAAGAGCGATCGTGCTGGTTCTCATTCTGTTACGCACGTTCCGACTCCGAATGAGTTGATAATATCGGGTGTGCCTGCCGCAATGTCTGTCACTCCCTTGGAATGTGTTCGCAACGTGTTCACGACATTGGGGATCCCTGAGCTATCGTGCCACGTTCTTGATGTTAGGGCTGTTGCTCGTAAGCCCCCGCCGGTGGGTGCTGGCAACCGATCTTTACCGATTTCTGCGGCGAACTCGTACATTGTCTCATTGGTTTCGGGCGCGGTTCGAGACATTGTCATTTCTAAAAAGAGGGCACGTCGCGCACTCACGCAGAGGGAGGTTTGTGGAATCGACTCTGATCGCAACATCTATGTTAATGAGTTGTTAGCCAAGAGCACTTATGATATATTAAAACGGGCTAAGAGTATCGCTAAGGAGAGATCGTATAAGTATGTCTGGGTAAGGAACGGCCAGATATGCGTTAAATATTCCGATGGTGATCCTGTTATCCATATTGATTCCGATACTGATCTTGCTAAGCTTGTCTATCGTTCAGCATAATACATGTAAATTTTCTTATCCGTATTGCTCAAATTAACGCCAATACCCTTTATGTACATATCATTTTTATTATACTTATTAAGTTGCGTTAGTTCTTAATTTTTAGTGTATATTATTGAAATCGGCTATATTTTGTTGCGTCATACTCAACATCCTATCAATCGCTTGTATGCTGGATCACTGGTTGCTCGCCTTATGAGAGAGACTATGCACATGCTTTGTAATTACAGTACTGTACTTCTATCTAACTCACAACAACTTCTGTCTTTAACATCTTGTAACTGCTATATCGTTGTAACTGCTTTAGTATTGTAATCACTATATTATTGTAACTGCTGTATTACTTTTTTGCCCTTTAGCCTTTGCTTGGGCATAATAAATTATATATCTCTCTCTCTCTTTCTCTCTCTTTCTCTCTCTCTCTCTCTCTCTCTCTCTCTCTCTCTCTCTCAGCAGAAGCAGACGTGTGAAACATCGCTCCGTAAAAGTGTTAATTTTTGAGTGGTTTAGAAGTGAGGGAGAGTGTTAAAAAGTTGTATAACGAATATCTGCATAGACCGGGGATAGCCATGAGTGTTATTTAGCCGGAAATGTTGATACATAGACACGAGAACTGCATTTCGTTCAGAGGTCATCGAAACCTCGTACGACAGGTAGACATCGACGGCGAACACAAAACGCTGACGTGTGAAAGTGACGTGTTAAAGTGATGAGTCAATTAACTGTCTCTGCCGATATTAGCAGAATGAACGAAGAATACGCCGAGTATCGATGCTCGGCATGTAAGAAGCCGATAAAAACGGAGGTGATAGCATGCAAGTCCTGTGCCAAGCTTTTCTACCACCCAGGTTGTGTATCTAAGCACAAAATTTATGATAGAAACCGCGATTTGGTGTCGTGTCCTGGCCCATTCGAGAAGTTAATTATTAGTGATGGTGATAAAGTAGCTGATATAAATAAAGCAGTGGCTGCAGCAGAAAGAACAACGGCCCCTGCAAAAATGAGTCCGGCGCCAAGCAGCGGGAATAAAGTAGCAGCCGCGAGTGATATTGATAGAAAAATAGATTGGCTTGTAAAAACAGTGAAAGAATTAAAAGATGAGGCAGCATGTAAAAAGGATATCAAGTCAATGATAAAAGAAATAGTCCGTGAGGAGATGGGAGGCATTAAGCAGGAATTAGAAGAATTGAGAAAAATGTTGACGCAAGGGGCATATGGATCGTCAGGTAGAGCGACAAAAAAATATAGCGATGTGATTAAAGAAAGGAAGGAAGAAAATATCTTGATTATAAAACCAAAAGTACAACAAGAGAGTGAAATTACGAAGAAAACAATTAAAGATGAAATTGATATAACCAAGATGGAAATAGGAATTACCAAATTAAGAAAGGGAGGTAAAAGGACAGTGATCTTAGGATGTGAGTCGAAAGAAGAGAAGTATAATCTAAAGGCGACGGTACAAGCGGCAATGGGCGAGGAGGTCAAAGTCTCTGAGCCACAGAAGAGGAAACCAAAGATTAAAATAATTAATGTTGGTGGAGAAGAAATGAAAATGGAGGATGATGAATTGATAGATACAATCAAGAAGCAGAACAGAATTGGCGAAGAATCCTGTATGCACCTAGTGAAGAAAACATTACGAGGAAAAAGTAAGGATACTGAGCAAGGATCCGTAATAATTGAAGTGGATGAAAGCACTTATAATTCACTAATAAACAGAGGAAAAATAAATTTAGGATGGCGAAAGTGTCCTATATTTAATTTTATTAGTGTTAGAAGATGTTTTAAATGCTGGGGCTATTACCATATTGCCAAGAATTGCACGAGACAGGAAACATGCTATAAATGTGCAGAAAATCATAAGGCGAATGAATGTACGACGGCAAAGAAGAGGTGTGTAAACTGTACCTATAAGAATCAGACGTACAACTTGAAGATAAATGTTAAACACGAGGCGTTAGATTCGGAATTTAAAAAAATATTGAAGGAAAAGAAAAAAAGAGCCGGCTGGGAAAATGCAAAATAGCAACCACAGGGAGAAGCGGAATTACTCTGGTATACGAATGCACAAAGCTTCTTGGCGCATAAGGACGAAATTCAACATCAGATTATGAAGAGGGTGAATCCTGTGATTCTAGCGTTATCCGAGACTAGATTGACTGTAGAAATTGAGGATAGTGAGGTCAATGTACCGGGGTATAGTATAGTTAGATGTGATGCTGAAAATAGAAACACAGAAGGAGTACTGTTATATGTTAGGGATGATATTAAATTTAAAATAGTTGATAAGAAAAAGATAGTGTCAAATTGTTGGTGCGTGGTGGTAGAAATAAGAGAGAATTTGTATAAAGGTAGGATAGCAGTAGTGTATCATTCGCCGAGTGCGTCAAATGGTGATTTCGTGAGATTTTTGGAAGAAACGATTAAAGATTTAATCATAAAGTATAACTGTATTGTGATAAGGGACTTTAATATAGATATAATGGTAGATTCATTTTACACAAAGAAATTATTAACGGTAATGCAAAACCTAGGGATGAGGCAATACGTTGATTGTCCAACGAGAGTTACAAAAGATAATCAAACAATGATAGATTTAATTTTTTCGAATAAAGAAATAAAGGTACAAGTGAATGAGAAACCTAAAATCACAGACCATACATGGATAAAAGTAGAATTTAATACAAATAAAAATAGAAATAAATATAAAAAATTTAGAGGCAGGGACTATAGTAAATTTAATGTAGATGAATTTTTTAGAATGATGGAAGAAAGAACTGAGCAAGGTCAAGGGCTAGATATAAGCATAAGGGCGGAGAGATTTGTTAATAGTATAGTAAGTGTATTGGATACTGTAGCACCTAAGAAAAAGTTTAAGATTCCGAAAATATGGGAAGGGAAAATGTGGTATTCAGATGAAATTAGAATGGCAGCAGATAGAAGGGATGAGGCTCACAGTAGAGCAATAAACTCAGGTAAAAAACAGAACTGGGAATTTTTCAAAAATGAAAGAAATGCAGTAGTTAAACTTATCAGAGCAAAAAAGAAAGAATATTATGAGAATATGATAGATAATAATAGGAGTGATCCCACAAAAATGTGGAAAACTTTAAAAAAATTAATTAAAGGTGAGCAAAGGGGTTCAGAGAACATCGATAATGTAGATTTTGAAATATTAGAAGACATAGAAGGATGCAATATAGCTGATAAATTTAATATATATTATGTAAAAAGTATTAGCAACATTGGGCAATCTATTAGTAATAAGGGGATAGAAGGCACGGGTAGGAGACCTATTTATGTAATTGAGAATAAGGAAATTATGGAAAATTTTGAGCCAATTAGTGCAAGTAAAATTAAAAATTATAAGGCTTTCGTGATTAAATCGATTAAAGGGAAAAAAAGGCAGTAAGAGCCGGCGCGGTAAATAGGGCGCAAGTTATATATATTTTTCTTATCGTCAATACATAAAAAAATTCGCGAACGTTTCGACCAATTTTGTGGTCATCTTCAGCGCAATAAATTAGAAACGTGTAAATTACTCTATTGTAACGCGGTCATTAGGCTATTGTATACTCGCACGTCGCACGTTCACTTATCCATGTGGTCATTCCGGTGTGTGTGCGTTATTCCATAGGCAAGCAACCTTGAGTCCCTCCCAAGTTAGAAGGCCAGGAAGACCATGCTGCATTTGGTACTTCATTATATGTTGCATGATACCTGCACACATACAGGAGCGACACACTGATTTACGGTTCACATCGATATAAAATTGAGCACTGTGAGTTACTTACAATGAAATCGCAAACGGTATAGCGCACAAATCGGCAGATAACAGACGCAAGTAATCTTGACATTGCTTCGAGAGATAATACTTGATCGTAAAACGGTACAGCGCACAGATAACGGACGCAAGTTGTCTCGACAATGTTTTAAGAGGTAATGACCGATCTAATATGTTTCGCTTGCCTCGAGGTTAAAAGATCGATGTATAAGAATTCGGTGAAAAACAAATAACGGTAATGCCAGTTGAGAGATCGATGTATAGAAATATTCGTTGCAAAACAAATAACGGTAATGCTAGTCAGAGACCTTGTAACACAGTAATCTATGTATATAATAAATAAAGCGTGAAACGCGGAGCTCTCAAATTTTTGGAAGCCCCTCGATCACATCGAGATAGTTTTCGGGTAAATCCTCGATGTCCGTCTGCATATTCAAACCATTCTTCTGTCTTTTTATACATATCATCTCAGATATTAACCGTTTACTGATATATGGTTCGCTGTCCAAAATTTCAACCGCATTCCACTCGAAATCATGACCAAACTCTAATCTATGCTCCGTGATCACTGAGCGGCTGGTTGTGTTTCTTCTTATGTGGGCCTGGTGTTCTTTAATTCTGGTTTGTAGTTGCCTACAAGTCGAAACGTTCGCGAATTTTTTTATGTATTGACGATAAGAAAAATATATATAACTTGCGCCCTATTTACCGCGCCGGCTCTTACTGCCTTTTTTTCCCTTTAGTGCAAGTAATTTGGAACAAATTGTTAGGGAACTACCACTAAAGAACGGAACAGAGGAAGGGATAAATAGTGATATACTGAAAATGGTGCTACCTGTGATAAAAGATGAGTTTGTAGGGGTAATAAATGATTCGCTTAGGACAGGTAAATTTCCAGAAGGATGGAAAACATCCACGATAATACCGATTCCAAAGGTAAACAAACCAAAAAAAGTGAGCGAGTATAGACCGATTAATATGTTACCGATATATGAAAAAGTATTAGAGTTAGTTGTAAAAAAACAGTTGGAAAAATTTCTAGATGATAACCGAATACCAATCGGGATTTAGGAAACAGCAGTCGTGTGAGACAGCAATTCAAAGTTTTATTGAAGAATGGAAGTTGATAATTAAGGAGAAAAAAATGGTGGGGGTGTTATTCCTGGATCTCAGGAGAGCGTTTGAGACAATAGATAGGGTAAGATTAGTGGAAAAA